GGCCTAAAAATTGCTTTAAGTTGTAGAAATACTTGAATTCATTCCGGTTTTTCTCAACAGTTACTACAATTCAAGCGTCTCGTAAGACAGGAGACTCCAGTTTTTCACTTATCATTGGGTTAATCTTGGGCGTTGTCGTCGTATCTGTGGTGTTTTCTGTTGTGATGGCCATTCTTTGGACAAAGAGGTACATTATGCTTGCCGTCTGTTTGGTATTAACGAAGTGCGAGATGATCAAACACACCAAAAAACAACAACAACAACAACAACAATTTATCCTAAGATCTTACGAAGCTTCTTATTTGGAGAATGAGTAAAACACGAAAATTTAATAGAATTAGTCTTCATCTAGCCTGAGAAAGCAGCCGAAATTTCGCGACGCCACCAAAGGTGTCGCTGTGAAATGATGCCCGAGGAAGGAACAAAGAAATTTCTCACTGGTGAGGTGTCAATACCCAGGTTCTGGTTGGTGCTTCTTCTTAGTTTCGTTTCCCGCGAATGAAATTTGCTTCAACCAATCAGAAGCACCATCCAGACTTGGGTAGGGAGTCTGACTGGTTGAAGAAAAAACAGCGGAAATCATGTTTAGTCTCTCTAAACACCTGCCGGCTGCCCCTCATGCCGACTTTTTCCGTTCTTGTTTTATTAATTATGATGATGATTATGTGATGATGATGATGATGATGATGATTTTTATGGTGCATGCTTCATGGCCGGTATGTCTGTGCCGGAAATTTCAGTCAAATCATCAGGTCGCAACAAGCTGCCTCAGACTTATTTTTTTAAAAAAGTAGTTAATTAACTAATTAATTGATCTATAATAATAGTAATTATCATTATTATTGAATTTTTTAGCTTGGTGGGCTTGAATATTATGTCTTAGCAGTATTTTTTGCTGACACTCAGTAAATATTTTGGTGTCAGGAAACACAGATCGCCTGTCAAAAGAAAGCCAAAGCTGTCAGAAGTTGTAGGAGACCTGGCCGTAAGTAGTAGAAAAATCGAACTATATTCTGTTGGAAACTGGGAAAGTAGCCATCGTTCCTTTGTGGCAGAATGGAAGATGCTTAAGCGTTGCAAGAAAAGATATTTGTCTCATTTGCATGCGACAGGTTCCTCTTCATGATCCCCTTTCACTCTATTTTGAAGTAGCCCGTTCCAGGCTCCAAGATTGTGGGGAAAGTGCATCAAAAGTAGATGCGCGAAAACCGCTCAGGGTCTGGGGAGAGACAGAGTAGTGGAGTCTGTAAGTGTTGTTTTCAATGCCTCATTCCGCTATGCCAGCTCGTGGTATACCCTATGATTGGTCAATTGTGACAGTTTACTTTAACACTTGCGCGCGAATAGTCTAACAAACAGGTCGAGCAAGTGAAACCCTAGCCTCCAACGCAGACGTTCTTAAGGGTTCGTCACGCGTTCCTGCCTCACGTTGAGAGGATTGCGTGACAAGCCAAAAGTAACGTCTACGTGTGAGACTAGTGGAACCCTCCTACACCGGCACCGTCTGACGTTTTGACATTTGACATTTTGACTCGAGAAACGGCTTTTCAGGAAGTGGGCGGATTGAGGCGTTTAAAACTTATAGGCTCTCCCCTTCTCTCTTCCGGCCGGTTTTCGTTCGTTCGCTATTTTCGCCCGTCTGCACTGACAGAGAGCCTGGCACAGGCTTATTGTGAAGAAGTTATTATTTTTATCGACTGCTAAATATGCACCGTCAAGCTTCTTTCGCGAGTATGTTCATCAGAGTGCAGATATCACTGTTCTTGCTGGAGCGATCGCGTAGATTTATCGCTTTTATAAGTTATATTTTATTACTAAAGTAATTTTTCTCTTTATTTTGTATTCCACACAGCCTCCTCATTCGTACGACGTTCCGAAAGAGCCTGATAAGGACGAGGACAGCGGCGTTTATGATGAAACGTATACGCCTTTGCTCAGTGATAAGGCCTCAGATTATGTGCAGATAACAACTTCTCAGCCTATGCTGTCAGTACAAAGAACATCAAAAAAGAACGTGGATGACGATAAAGTCGCCGATTCCACGGAAATATGACTCTAAAATTATCAGTAGTTTTGAGATGAATGTTCCTTGTCCAGGTAGTATTCACGCTCTAACAGATTGAGAGCACCACGTTCACCTCCTACAGAGCCGTTCTTTTTGTTGTCACGCAATACTCCTCCCCACTAGTTTGTGTGAAAGAACGGTACGTGTCGTCATGAACAACGGTTGCTTGGGCCGTGGGACTAACTCCGGAACGACCAATGCCAGCCAGTCGCCGGCAATTATCGTTACCTGCCGTGATAGGCTTCATTTAAGCTTCCAGCATGTTGGTTAACTTTTATTATTTCTACGTAGTCACCCGTAGTTTGCTACACGTACAGCCGTTCTTTGTGTCGTCATGCAACGTTCCTCCCCACAATGACGCTAGTAGGTCACCGGAGCCGCTTGAAGGTCGAACCTTTATTTCTTATTTTAAGACCATGAGTCTTGGTTTGCGCCTCGCAAAACCTCTTTTTAGTGGAAGAGATATGCTGCTTCATAGACTTTCTCTTGTTTTCGTTGCACCAGCAACAACTCAGTTTTTCAGACTTTTTAGGCAAGTAAGTACTTAGTGGTCAGCTTTGAAAATGGGGCCCCTTTAAAGAGAGTGAAAATAATAATTTTCGTAAAGAATTGCATTTTTCACTTGTTTTCTTGAATCTAATTGTAATGTTTTTATTGAAAAACATAAAAATGTATAACAACTTGGTAAGTAAACGATGGAATAAATAATTTAACCGTTGCCAGTTCATTATTTTAATAACTAAGTGATATTTGCCATGGCTTGTTTTTCAATTGTATAGCGAATAGTGCTATCTGTAGCCATAGGAACTTCAGAATTTAGAGAGAAATCAGTAAGACACTGTGAATGAATTGCTGACATTTTTCAACTGTACTGAGTATTTCATTCGCGGATATCCAAGTCAGGATGCTTTTCAAGACTCGTGGTTTTCGCATTTCCGTAGTTGCCTAGTTTTATGGTACAGCTAAGAATAAATAATGCGACGGGACCGATGAATTATCCTTTGTTGACACAGTTTTCTTCAAAGACGCGAAAGAGCGCTAAGTAAGGATTAAAAATTAATGGACAATTATTTTCACCTTTTCCACATTGCTGATAATAGACCTTCTTTAACCCCCATAAGCATATTGCCTTCAATTTGTCTTGGGACGACTGTGGTACCCAGGAAAAATTAAAAACAGTTCTTATGCAAAACTGTGGGGGGTAAACAGGTGGTTTGTGGCCAATGTGAAAATGGTGAATTTACCTTTTTGTAGATCGGCCAGAGTATCATTTTGTGTAGTCATGGCTGGCCATCTCGCAGTAAAAATTTTTAAAAAAGTAGAATGCTTACGAGTTCTGTTATTCTAAAAGTTTGCTTTGTGCTATTGAGATGCTTTTGCATACGGTTTCTAATAGAGCGCTCTAGATCACCGACTGTTTATTGTACCCAAAGACTGATAGAAAACTGAAAAAACTTTGTTTTCACTTAAATTTATTTGTACTGAATTTAACTTGCGTTGTTAACCACGCCCTTTTGTAGTGTTCTACGGAAATCCCGCGTGGGATAATACTAGTTAAACATTTAGCTTATTGCTTCAAATTTCTGAATCACCGGTGAATTTGTATTACTTTTGTTGCATCTTTTTTTAAGGGGGCGGGGGGCGCTGGGCTGTTTTCAGTTTTTGCCTCTATGAAAAACACCGGGGAACACGGTAACTTAATCATCAGATCTGGCGTCCAAAGTGAAAAGGAGCGTCCCTTATGAATAATTAATAACTACTTAATGAGATCTGTTAAGAGTGTCGAAAATATCTACCTAAGGTCACCTAAAGATTTCTTTCCAAAGGAAAAAAAGCTTGGTCGTAAATATCTCTTGAACTATTGAGTCCACGAGTAAAAAACTATAGAGTTTAAAAGTGGCCCACAGTATTTATCTGTTTCGTCGATTTCATGTAACGCGAGCCGATTTATAATTTTGTTTTTTTGTTCATTGTTTTAAGCAGCGGGAAATTACTTAATCGGCGTACCGCTCTTTTGAGGTATATTTATGCTGCAGAAACGTGAGTAAACTTGGGCTGACGCGTATATCAAACATCTGCTGGTGAACTCTTGTTGTCGTTTTTTTTTTTCAGTATATACATTAGCTGCCATGATAGATCTGAAATTATGGTAGGGAAGTTCTAAAAAAGAAACTGAAAGTCGGTCATATTTTATTTTAAATATAATTTTCCTTTTACTTCCCAACGACATTAGTTCCCCGGTGTTGTTTATGCGTGTTGTTTTATTTTCGTCAAGATCACAAATTTAACATAACAGCTGAAAATCTTAAAGTTGTCTCCTCACTTTATTCCTCTTAATTTTTGACTAGTTATTTTACTATCTCCCTAGCTCACAGGTCTTCCCTTTATCTAATGCACTTTCAACCGAAAATTGCAGTTTTCCTATTTAAACTGTCGGAATCGGCGAATATCTGTAGAAAAAGCTCGCCCATAGCAACGACAAACTTTCAAACCTTCAAAGAAATTTCTAAGATAAAGAAACTGTACGAGTTGTTTCCTTTCTCATTGATTGGATTGGTTGCCAAAACTACTAAGCGGAACGTCACTTTTACGAAATTTGTTTTAGACTGTGACAAATGCGACTTGAATATTATATTTGTTAGAAATATGCAAATCAGTGACAATGTCTACTTGTCAAACAATAAAACTCGCCAGGTTCTTATAAAGCACGTGTTGATCGGATTTATATTCTATCAGCCAGTGACGTCTGAGTTTTAAAACAACTTTTATGCTTCCATTTATTTCGTTTCGTTTTGATATTTTTACGGGAAATTGCCACGTCGTTAGCAACATGGGCGAAACGACCGAGCACAAGTCGGGGGGAAACTCCCGCCATCTTGCGATATAAATACTATGATGGTTGCACTAACGTTTGTCGGATGGAAAGAAGAGGAAGATGGCATTGATGGTGGTACTGTGGTTTTTATTTAGTTCGTCTTTCGTATATCATGTCACGGGGAAGGATAATCTAACAGGTAAGACTCTTTAACTGTTTTAAGTGCAGCAGGTTGACTTTTAAGCCAAGGCGAGAGATGTCGCTTTCTTATACTAAAAATAACCTGCAATGTTTAATATGACATGTATTTTAAGTCTAACGCGGATTTTTGCTTAACACTTGTTTTTGTCAAGATACAAAATAAACTGCAGTGATTTCAGTGGCAAAATTTAGTAATCTTTCAGCCCTTTTTTTGTTCCAATGGCCTTTTTGCTCTTTAAATTTTAGCCAGAAAGCAACTTTTTGATTCAATCCATACATCGCGTGAAGCTGCTCTTGTTAGAAATGGAAGCCAAATGATTCAAGCATTCTGTGTTTAAAACTTCATTGGAAAGACAAGTATGTCCGCCCTGAGTTTTCGCCTGCTTCCCGGGGATTTTTCGAAAGTGTATTTTAAGGTCGAATATTGAAGGCGGTTTGATGCGTATATACGTATATATATATGCTGGCGGGCATGTAACAAATTTTGATAACTACAAGCCTAAATTGAAGGTAACCTTTGGTGGTTGATCGAGCTGTTCCGTCAAATATTGCGTAAGATTAACTTAAGATTGAGTCCGCTCGAGAAGCGATAAAATTCAATTGCTGAATGGTTCTTTTTTAACTGTAAATTTTTCCCTGGTTTCATACATTTTTCAGTCACGCTTTCGTTTATAAGTGTTAATTTAATTTAAATGCGTGGCCTGTATAAAATACCCTGAAACTCTTCAATAGTAATAATAATACCTGAATGATTGCTAAAGCCATCCTTCAAAAACAAAAACAAATATTTAAGTATATATATATCTGGCTCTAAGTTGGCACAATCGTTTAGTTTGAATAACAAAACATCAAAGTCACGCCATTCATTATATGAAGCACCTTTAATTTGATCAGCGGCTTGTATTCAAGGCTCGCTTTGAAACATGGCGGGAGAGTCGGCGAGAGCAGGCGAGAGGGACACTTTTCATTCAACGGAGAAAATTCGTTCTATTGTGAGGTAAAAGAAAGTTGCAGTTTTCCCAGCTTGCATTTTTGTTGGTAATTACTTAACAAAATTTCAGTCCCGGTTCATTAGCTGCAAACCGTTGCTGGCCGCTCGTTTTCTCAAAGAACCATGTGCCGTGCAAAAACTATTACCTTGTGTACTCATGTGTAACTTACTCTTGAACGTCATTCAGTACGCTGATTTTATCTCTTTAGTTGGAAGACTATTAGTACAGTTTACCGCCAACTTTTTTGAGTCAAATGCGTGAGTCTTTCATCTTGTTGTAAACGGAATTCCAGCAAATACTGAAGATTTCCGACGACTTTCCGAACGTTTCCGAAAATGTCGAAGATGTTCCGACAACGAGAGAGCACTTCCGATGCTATTTAAAAGATGACAATTGACCACTCCAGAAATACCATGACACACCATAATGCTCTTTGTTTGTTACCCCATAATTTTGCATAGGCATTGTCTTCAGTTTCCTTGGGAATTAAAGTGGCCCTAAGAGAAACTGAAAACAATGCTTATGCAAAATTTTGGGTTGACAAACAAAGAGCATTATGGTGTGTTATGGTATTTTCTGGAGTGGTTAATTTTAGTGTGTTTCGATTTTGTAAGGACAAAAAGTCATCATTCAATGCCTTTTTGGAGGATTTTCGTGGAAATTAAATTGAATTTTAGTTATTAATCCTGTGTCAAAGAACATTTTGTCCGGATTTGTGAGTCAGTTGGCGTGATAAATTGTCCTTGATGCTCGAGATCAACGTCTTTAGTCCGCAGGTGTGAGACTCACACATAATGCAGGCAGGTTAAGTGCAGACGTGTACATACTGCTTGTTAGAGCCTTCTTGGAGCAATAATAATCCGTGTGAACCAAGGGACCCTCCAGATTTCAAGTAACAGGAATGATCGAATGGGGGCAAAAATTAAAACTCAAAAAATCTCTGAACCAAAAATTAACCCCCAAAATGTTCTATTTGATGTAATGTGTGAAATGTTAAAACAGTGGCAATTAAGAATTTGTTCATGCTTATGGATGCACGCGGGAAAACTTCCCAAGTGCATCCATAATTCGATATATGCACAGCTAAAAGCATGAGCAAATTCTTTTATAACATAGCTGACAAAAATGTTGCTTTTTGATTAACTGCAAAATTCTCGTAACGCACGGCACAATAACAAACGCTTCTATTGGCTGATTACAAACGCACCACAATCATCTAGTTTGAATGAAAATTCTTTCTGTATAAAACTGAGAAAGAAAATTAATTGCTTATTTATTTGTTAACGATCAATGAGGAAAAGAGACAAAAAACACAGCTTAACACGTCATCATGAAAAAAATCTTTATTTACGCAAGGGCATATGAATTAAAGATTTTGTTCACAGCAGTTCAATAGGACTCATATAGGGCAAGCATGCATGCATGCTATGTTATAAAACATCTTTGGCTATGCTCTCTTCCCAGAACTACGTGGCCTGGATACACAGGCACTACCATGAAACTTCAGATTGTTCTGAATACCCCAAAATATCTCTACTTCAATCAAGTCTCCCAAAAAAATACTTGCCAAATTTTCCTACCAAAGTCCAAAGTCAAGTCCAAAAAGAAAACCTTCAATCATCCCCATGACCTTGAAATCCAGATAAGCCCCTGCCCTGCTGGGTATGTGAATAGAATTATTTTAAAACTTTCTCTAGTCAGTGCTTTTAATACACATTGTTCACCCTACCCTGCTGGTAGAGTCTCTTTCATTCTTCCTTGGAAAATTTACCCTGCGAGTGAGCAGAGTCTCAAATCAAAGCTTCAACATCCCCTCCCAGTCAACCCCCTGGACATTTGAATTTTTAACAAAAATTAATATTCAAATTCCCACTGCTTCAGCTAAAATGCCATTCAAATGCCCCATCATAGTTTCATTTTAGGTGATCAAATACCTCTATCCTTAGGAAATTAAAAAGGGACCATATTACTCTTTTAACTATTAAATGTAGCTTGTCTAATGCCCTTGAAGCCAAGTATGCACACAGAGCAAAGCTTGTGCAATCCTTTGCTTTTCAGCTGTTCCACCATGAAGACGCAATCTTTTCTTTTAAAAGTCATGCCAGCCCCCACGATGATTTATCATGTCCCACGGGACTCCTCGAAGTTGCCACTTCAAAATTCAAAGAAAGCAGTACTTAAGTGACCCTTAGCTTTGCACAATAAACAAGCTTGAAAAATTCAGCTCTTTTTATAAATCTAGATTAACCTCCTGCTGTGCCCAAATAATTATTCTTTAACAATGCTAGAACTTAATATTTATATTAAGAGATTTATTAGTTAAGAGAAATATTGGTTTGAGATGTACCAGTACCTACTTAGTACCTGGAAAATTGTAGGTCTTAGAAATACTAATCTGATCTCACAATTGTGGAAGAATTTTTGGCAAGTCCCAAGGGTAGTTTTTGGTGTTTCTTTATCCCTAAACCATAGACCTTTTGCCTCACATTTTAACTCTCTTCCAGACACTTTTGCAAAAATGGTTCCTGCAGGAATCATTCGAAAAAAAATTGTAAAAAAATCAGCATTACTTCCAATTGCCACCAAATTTGGTACACAGAAAGGAGACAGTCTTAGCCAATAAAATTTACAGGGCTAGTTTCAGCCTCTGGCCATGAAAAGCTTTGACACACAAAGTTTTGAAAATTTGGAAAAAATGGTCGGTGATGCAGGAAGAATTTATTTATGGTGGCTTTTAATAACAGCCAAGAAGCACTTTTAGAATTCCCTGAGAAGGAGTGTCTTCTAGTGAAAATAAAAGTGATTTGGGTCGTCAGCGATGAAATGAGAACGACAAATCGATGTAAGCAAGCTTGCTTCCTTTCACTCGCACATGTTTACTCTCGGCAATGAAGACCACATGTTTTTCAAATGGCAATGAAATGCTTCTCAGAATGGCTTCTAAGTCCAAAACCTCGCATATTTTCTTGAAATCAATTTTCCACATCAAGAGCTCAATATTTTGCTGGAAACAAGCTTTTTTAGTGTCTGAAGCAAAAGATTGTCTCAGAAACTGATGCTTAAGACTAGAATTCAAGTATGCAAATGTGTATTTACCATTAGCATAATCTGATGGCTGCAGAAAATAAATTTTTATAAAATTCTATGTCATTGGGTGGTCTGTTATATCTTACATATCAAGGAAAAAATTTTTCTTTTTGACTTTTTCCTCAAACCAGACATAACTGTTCCAAAAATTACATTTTTATTAAAAATGCTTGCATAAAAATTATACAAAAGGACATCTTGTGAACTTTTTACTAGAGAAAGAAAAATTTTTTCCTGCAAGGGTATTTTATTTGCCCTTTACAAAGAGGTAAAGCCTTCTATGCTGCTCTTTATGACCCCCCGAGTAATTAATTTTCAAAATAACTATGGCAATTTTTTCTCTTTTTTGAGTTGTCTGGAAAAGAGTAAAACCAAGGTCTCCGAGTCTTGAAGAGTCTGAGATTTTACCATTCATCATCACCAGTGTAGTCTAGTGAATTTTGCATGATCTATTTTATAAATTTCTTTGCAGTTACCATGGATATGAAGGTCCGGGCATGGTGTGAAGCTGGTGATGAAGGATTTAAGACGGTAAATGTTATTTGGTATCCTCCCAACAGTCCAGAGAGTACCTCTTCTGTTGAATCCAGTTCTTACTCAGTATTTTTTACAAGCACAATAACTGAAGAGTACAAGTATCAGTTTGGCTGTGCTCTAAACACAACACAGCAGTCATTGCAGCAAGGGCAATTGCAATGCAGCATTTCATGCCGATCATGTGAAGGTGGTTTATTTCCATGGAAGTTTTACTTCATCCTGAAAATGACAAATTCCTCTGGATCTTATGTTACTGGAAAAAAATCCTGTCGCCTTGTGAATACTGGTAAGCTCTAAAGGATGATTGCTTATTAAAATAGTGATGGGACAATAGTCTGTCCCTTTTTATTGTGACAGAGTGTATCCCTTCTCTGTGAGTAAGATTATTTCTTCTTCCTATTGGAAGTATGATGTGTATCTTGAAGCCTGGCCTCATTGGCTGCTTAGCTTAAATACTCAGCTAAATCAAGGTCTGTCTATAAATCAATCTGAGAAAGACTGTCATGATAAAGTGAAGTGAACTGAAGTGTTTGAAACCTGGCAAGGCAAGTCGTCCTGATGATATATATTTCAAGCAGGGGACTGCACCTTATTGGAGATGTATTTTTGGACTGCTTTATGCCACTGGCTCAAAGAAGTATTTTGGAATGCAAATTCCCAAGCCAGTGGAAGCAGGCACAGGTGAAATGTCTTCACAAGAAAGGGAGCACTCTCGACTGCGGAAATTACAGGCCGATCTCCCTTCTCAGCATTCCGGGCAAGCTATTAGAGAATGTTGTAAGCCAACAACTTGACAACTTCTTATATGGCAACAATCAAATCTCTTTGAATCAATGGGGCTTCAGAAAAGGAGGCTCACCTGAACTTCTTTTACTCTCACTAACAGAACGATGGCGTTTGGCCCTGGATGAAAGCAAGGTTATTGCCGTAGTCTTCATTGACTTTCAGAAAGCGTTTGATTGCGTCAACCATACAGTTCTCATGGATAAATTACACTCTATAGGCATTAGTGGCTCCTTTTACGATTGGCTCCTAAATTACCTCGAAAATCGTAAACAATTTGTAACTGTAAATGGTTCTAACTCAGAATTGTTGGAAATAGATACTGGTGTGCCTCAGGGGTCTTTACTCGGTCCCAGATTTTACAGTATTTACTCGAATGATTTACCTGAAGCCACAACGAATGCTTC